TATGCATGGAATGATATAATATGAATTTTTAAAAAGATATTATTTCAAAAGGTTGAGAAACTTCGAATACGAATTACAAAAATTATCAAAATTATTTATTTTTGTATTTTACCTTTTCTTTTTCTTTTGTAATACACACTTCATAGTATTTTCGTTAGTAAAATCTATATACTGTTTATGAAATTATATACACATATATACAATGTAGACAATAATTTCGTTCTTCCTTTTCGTGTTCGATTTAACACGTTCACCTCACCGAGAAATAACATTTGTATGATTTAAATTATATAACAAATGTAATACACGTGTATAATCATGAACACATACGTGATATATTTATCGAAAATGTTCTGCTATCTCTTAAACTTTTGCACGCTACTGTATAACCCATATATATGCATTTATAAATATGAATGCTGGGCAAATCGGTGGCCATAGACGGTAAGGCTCATTTTCATAAATTATATTAATTCGCCACGGTCAGGGGCATCCGGCTGATTGGGTGACGCGTACTGTGATCATCAGCTATCTTTCTCTCTCTCTCTTTCTCACACACTCTCACACTCTCTTTTTCTCTCTCTCCCTTTCTTTCTTTCTTTCTTTCTTTCTTTCTCTTTCACCTTCTTTTCTTGCGTATCCGTTTCGTGTCTACGATCGTGAGCACGTTTTTACGGCATCATTAAAATCATGATATATGGGGTGTCTGCGAAATACCGATCATTATAAGTATCCTAATCGGCAGAAAGGCGTTGATTAAAAACGACGGGCTTGTCCGGGGATTAGAGAAGAATATCTTCCAAATCCTAACCAAAAAGGTAGAAGAACGTATTATAAGAACTTGTATACGATATATACCATCGTGCTTTGTCCTCTTTATTTTTCACTCTTTCTTTTTCTATCTTCCGTAGAATCCGATGACTATAAAAAAAAGTAATATTATTATATTATCGGTCCCTTATATTTTTACGAGCAAACAAAAATATTCCTTTCCGATCATTATAATATTTCGAATGCTATATTTCAAAAAAGCATATCTAATTAGAGGATTAGGATAATAAAATTTATAATTGTTCTAGATTGAGATATTCTATTCAAGAAACACTGATGTATAATCAGTAATTTCCTGTTCAAGTTCTTATATATAAGAAAATGTTATGAAGAAAAATATATATATACATAAGTGTTAGAATATTAGTTTAGAATATGTGACAAATATACAGATACAAACTTCACATATACATACTTATAACTACAGAGAGAAGACATTCAGAAGAGACTCTCGGGGAAACTTCGTCGTAAACGAAGGTGCCGGGGCAACGTGGTAGTCGTTGTGAAGAAGGAAGAAGAAAAGTAGAAGAAAAAAGAAAGAAAGAAAGGAACAAGAAGAAGAAGAAGAAGAAACGTAGAAGAACGTAGAGGAGGACGAAGTGATTTTTATTTCACATCGCGAGAAACCAGTTTGTAAATAATGTAAATCCATAGAAAACGAGCAACTGGAATCTCAATGTCCCCGCTTGCGTAGGGTCTTTAAAAGTGGAATGGCTGGCTGGTTGGTTGGCTGGCTGGCTAGCTGCTGTTGCTGTTGCTGTTGCTGCTGCTGAGGGACGAGAATGGGATGCGTTGTTCGAAGTGATGGGAAAGGGGGAGAGGGCGGCGGCTTGAGGAAGATCGTTCTTGTGAGTTTGAAAAGATAGTAGTTTGATAGAGAGGGGAGGGAAAAGAAAAGATGGTAAAGATATTTTGAATTCACAAGTGTTGCTTTTCTTCGGTTATAATAATAATAGATAGGATGATCATGATTATGATGATGATAATAATGATAATGATAATGATAATACTGTCAAGATCAATAAGTTAATGTTTTATTTTTACACGATAAAAAATTCTAATGATATTCATGGTAACTAACCTTCTTAAATTTTCATAGAAAAATTATTCCAATTGATATATAAATAAAGAGAGAGAGAGAGAGAGAGAGCAAAGAAAAGAAAAAGAAAAAAAATATAAAATCGTGTAGGTGCAAATCTCGGTACGCGCACGTTGGCAATTACTCGATCAAACGACACTCGATCTAAAAATAACCTACTCTAAGAGAGCCGAGAGAAAATCTAAAGAAAAACAATGTCCGTCTTCGGTCGTAAGTACTAGTATAAAGTCTTGAAGGGTCGAAGAAAAAGGCAATTCTTTTTAACAGCTAGATAGAGAGAAAGATAGATAGATAGAGAGAGAGAAAGAGAACGTGGACACGCTCGAAGTGTCCGATCTCAAGGCTCTATCGAGCAAAGGCCCTTTTATTTGCTCTCCTTTTCCATGGCACGGACACATTTCGAACAAACGTACATACGAGGTTAGAGAGAAATACACGAGAGAAATAGAGAGAGAGAGAGAGAGAGAGAGAGAGAGAGAGAGAGAGTGGCTCTCGACACGATCGCGAGATTATACCTACACCCACGCCAAGAGATAATAGA